TTTGTTCCCTGTCTTCATTGTGTAACAGCACTCCTACCTCCTGATGATGGGACCATCAGTTCCTGCCTGGGTGGTTACTCCTCTCCTTGTCTGCTGGAGTCTTGGAAAGAGAAGGCTTAAATGTCTGGGCGCCAGCCCTACCTTTAAGTTTACAGTCTCCCTCTTTCTCATGGCAGAAGGATCCAGGAACTGAGACTTCCAGACTCGGAGGGTAGAAAGCACAAATTTCCCCACATGGTGACATATAGTCTCTTCCCTTCCTCAGCAGACCCCCAGTGCTGCCCCAACCAGCTTTTGCTGCCTATAACCCTAGGAACTGACCTAGTGGCCCGATGTGGATGTGGATAGATCCTGAAGAGACATATGATGTCTTGCTGAGCAGAACCTCAACATCATCTTCAAGCAAGGTGGCAACACTAGCTTTTAACAGGGCATAATGGAATAATTCTGCAGGCCCATAGGGTTCATTGATGAATCTGAGGATCCATGACTCTTGAGGCTTTGACTGAGCTATCCGTGTCTGAAGTCTCAGAGTTACATTGCTTCTCAGTCAGCTCTCTGGCCGTGGCTTAGCATACCTACCAGGTTTGATAATATCCTTGTTTGGAGCTCTGCTACTCTTTCAATTAAGTCATGGGTCTGATCCTCTGCTTTTTCTGCCTTCTGGCTGAAGGAGATAAGACTTTATATGGTGCCAAAGAAGCCCTCTGGATTTCACGCTTTACCTTATATTAGTGGTTAATCACCCTCAGAATTTCACTGCCTTCCTTTAATACATCAGTGGCCACCAGTGCAAAACCCTGACCATTCTTTTGGCCAAGCTATTTCTCAGAGTTGTTTATGCAGCTTGTAACTTTGAGAAATGAGGTGACATTTTCCTCTAGACAAAGTGTAAACTTAACTACATACCACAAAAGTGGCAGATTCCTGGGGCGCCTGGGTGGCTCAGTCGTTAAGCGTCTGCCTTCGGCTCAGATCATGGTCCCGGGGTCCTGGGATCAAGTCCCGCATCGGGCTCCCCGCTCCGCGGGAAGCCTGCTTCTCCCTCTCCCACTCCCCCTGCTTCTGTTCCCTCTCTCGCTGTGTCTCTCTCTGTCAAATAAATAAATAAAAATTAAAAATTAAAAAAAATTTTTAAAAGGTGGCAGATTCCCTAAGCTTAGGTCTCCCCCGCCCCCGAGATGCAACATAGACTCATTGTGTGCATATCATCCATCTGGATCCATCTTGTAACTTCTTTCAGATTTGGGGGCAAGTAGAACTGGCACATATATGAATATTCATGCTGCTTGCTCTCTATGAATAATGAAGTCCTTTGTTTCTGACCCTGAAGTCTTATGTCTTTGAGACCATCCATCAAACATTAACAGGCTAGTTTTTCGTTTGTAAGATGAATAAAATAAAATCCCAGACTCACCTCACCTGAAATAATGCACCCCAAAATTTATTACCTCCCACAAGTATCCTATCCTACTCTCACCACCATTGAAGTTTTTTTTTTTTAAAGATTTTATTTATTTATTTGAGAGAGAGAATGAGAGATAGAGCACAAGAGGGAAGAGGGTCGGAGGGAGAAGCAGACTCCCTGCTGAGCAGGGAGCCCGATGCGGGACTCGATCCCGGGACTCCAGGATCATGACCTGAGCCGAAGGCAGTCGCTTAACCAGCTGAGCCACCCAGGCGCCCTGAAGTTTTTAACAGTTGTACTGCAACCTCCTATCAGGGCTATGGGTGTTGCCCTATCCCCTTGCCCCGGATTCTCATCACCAGTTCACATCAGGTCTCCAACTCCCAAATCCCATTTTTGAAACTACTTCCTAGGATCACTTCCAATATCAAATGTAGGTTCAATTCTCTAGGTAAGAGATTCTGAGATGTATGTGCAAGAAATTTATTGAGTGAGTGCTGTAGGGAAGCACTACTGGGTGGAGAGGGAAGTTGAACAGAGACATCAACTAACTCTACAAGGAGCTCTGAAACCAGAGCAATTGTCCTTCAGAGTTGTCTTGCCTCAAAGCAAGGAGTCAAAGTTGCATATACCCCTCAGCAATGATTGGCCACTGAACGTGAGATGCCATGTTTGGGGACCTGATCTTGAGCTATGGAGTTGTCATTGTGGTGAAGGACGTGTATCAAGAGCTTCTCAGTCATTGTAAGCAGCAGGGGGAACGAGTGCCTCACTTGTGACAGAAGGAACTGACCATCAAGCAATAGATTCACTACAAGAATCAATGACTGAACTCTAACATCCCAACATTTAGAGAGTGAAATGATATAGAAAGGATCCATAATAGAAATGATGCAGTAAACAACAAGGTAGGAAAACTATGAGAGTGGTGCCCCAAAGAAGAGTATGTTTCAGGGAAGAAGGCGTATTAAAAAATGTGAAATGTTGCCAAGAGCCTAGGGTGACAATTTATCACTAGAGTTGGGAATGTGGAGGTCGAGAAGTTTCAATGGAACGCCAAGCATAAACACATGATTTCAGTGGGTTTATAAAAGAAGGGGTATTTTTCCATTTCTGAAACGTGAATCTTAATTATTCAGACCCATTCTCTTAGTAAAAACAACCCATGCAGCATACATTATTTACAAGTAAATTCTTAAAAGCATTGCAGAGCTGATAAGATAGTAAGGAATCTCAACTTAAAATCAAAGTAGAAGTGAAAATGCAGAGAGGCAATCAGATACTTAAGTTGATTTTTATCCTGAGACCTTTCGCCAAACAACAATTTCATCTTTAGTCTGATGGTCCTGAAAGTATAAGACAAAGCCGCTGGCCTGCCTAAGGTAAGCATCTGATAAGAGGTCCTTCTTTGATAAACCCAGCTTCCATAGGGCGGTGGCAGCGGTGAACCAAAAGTAACCCTACTCCTACCTACATCTACCTCTAGCAGACTGTAAAGGAAGTTGCCTTGGTATGAACAGAACACAACACAACACAACACAACACAACACAACACAACACAACAGTGCCTGAGAATTGTAACTACAAGCCTGCTTTTGCACACATTTGCATTCCAAATTCACAAAACCAAGATGGGCCAAAACGTCTCAAATCATGAATTCAGTTTAAAGTATTCCCCTACTGGGCACCTGGGTGGCTCAGTTGGTTAAGCGACTGCCTTCGGCTCGGGTCATGATCCTGGAGTCCCAGGATCGAGTCCTGCATCGGGCTCCCTGCTCAGCAGGGAGTCTGCTTCTCCCTCTGAATCTCTTCCCTCTCATGCTCTCTATCTCTCATTCTCTCTCTCTCAAATAAATAAATAAAATCTTTAAAAAAAAAAAAGTATTCCCCTACCTACCTGACAGAGGCAAATGCAAATCCTCTCAGGAGTACCCACTATTTTCCTTCATTCTACTTGCTTTGAGTTTAGTTTGTTCTTCTTTATCTAGTTTCTTACATTGAGAGGATAGGCTATTGATTTGAGATCTTTCTTTTTTGATACAGGCGCTTACAGCTATAAATTTCCCACTAAGCATGGCTTTAGCTACATCCCATATATTTTGGTATGTTGTTGTTTTGTTATCAGTCATCTCAAAGTATTTTCTAATTTCCCTTGAAGTTTCCTTCTTTGACTCATTGATTACCTAGGAGTGTGTTGTCTAATTTCCAAATATATGTGAATTCCCCAAATTTCCTTTCATTATTCATTTCTAATTTCATTCCAGTGTGGTTGGAGAACATACTCTGTATGATTTCAATCATTTGAAATTTACTGCTTGTTTTATGACTTACCATAAATCTGTCTTGAAGAATGTTCCATTGGCATTTTAGATCTCCATGGGTTTTTACTTATTTGTTTAATGCCAGTGTGATTACTGTACATTGTTATATTAGTTTCAAGTGTGCAATGTAGTGACTCAACAATTCTATACATTATTCAATGCTCATCACAATAAGTGTATCCTTAATCCCCTTCACCTGCTTCACCCATCCTTCCACCCACCTTTGTTCTCTATATTTAAGAGTGTGGTTTTTTTGTCTTTTTTTTCCTTTGATCATTTGTTTTGTTTCTTAAATTCCACATGTGAGTGTGAAATCATTTAGTATTTGTGTTTCTCTGACTTTTTTCACTTAACATTATACCCTCTAGATCCATCCATATCATTGCAAATGGCAAGATTTCATTCTTTGTTATGGTTGAGCAATATTCCATTGTGTGTGTGTGTGTACACACCACTTCTTCTTTAACCATTCATCTATCAGTGGACACTTGAGCTGCTTCCATATATTGGCTGTTGTTAACAATGCTGCTATAAACATAAAGGTGCATCTATCTTTTTGAATTACTGTTTTCATTTTCTTTGGGCAAATACCCAGTAGTTCTATTTTTAATTTTTCAAGGTGCCTCCATACTGTTTTCCACAGTGACTATGCCAATTTACATTCCCACCAACAGTGCACAAGGGTTCCTTTTCTCCACATCCTCGCCAACATTTGTTGTTTCTTATGTTTTTGAGTTTAGCCATTCTGACAGATATGACATGATGTGGTTTTGGTTTGCATTTCTCTGATGATGAGTGATGTTGAGCATCTTTTCATGTCTGTTGGTCATTTGTATGTCTTCTTTGGAGAAATGTCCATTCATGTCTAATGCCCATTTTTGATTTATTTTTATTTTTTTAAGATTTATTTATTTGAGAGAGAGAGAGCTTTTGGGGGGAGGAGCAGAGGGAGAGAATCTCCAGCAGACTCCCCACTGAACACCGAGCCCCATGCAGGGCTTGATCCCATGACCCATGAGATCATGACCTGAGCCAAAACCAAGAGTTGAGGCTCAACCAGTTGAGTCACCCAGGCACCCCTGAAAGAAACTTGATAGAGGTTTACCCAAATATCAACAATTTAAAATGTTTTTGATCAGGGGCACCTGGGTTGCTCAGTCATTTATGTGTCTGACTCTTGATTTCAGCTCAGGTCATGATCTCAGGGTTGTGAGATTGAGCATGCTCCCATGTTCCCCCCCTCCTCCGATGTTCCCTCGCTCCTCCCCCGCCCTCCTCCGATGCTCTCGCGCTCCTCCCCTGGTCCTCCTCCGATGCTCCCGCGCTCCTCCTCCGATGCTCCCGATGTTCCCTCGCTCCTCCCCCGCCCTCCTCCGATGCTCTCGCGCTCCTCCCCTGGTCCTCCTCCGATGCTCCCGCGCTCCTCCTCCGATGCTCCCGCCCTCCTCCCCTGATCCTCCTCCGATGCTCCCATGCTCCTCCCCTGGTCCTCCTCCGATGCTCCCGCGCTCCTCCTCCGATGCTCCCGCGCTCCTCCCCTGATCCTCCTCCAATGCTCCCGCGCTCCTCCTCCGATGCTCCCACGCTCCTCCCCTGGTCCTCCTCCGATGCTCCCGCGCTCCTCCTCCGATGCTCCCGCGCTTCTCCTCCGATGCTCCCGCGCTCCTCCCCCGCCCTCCTCCGATGCTCCCGCTCTCCTCCGCCGTCCTCCTCCGATGCTCCCGCGCTCCTCCCCTGGTCCTCCTCCGATGCTCCCGCGCTCCTCCCCCGCCCTCCTCCGATGCTCCCGCGCTCCTCCCCTGGTCCTCCTCCGATGCTCCCGCGCTCCTCCCCCG